TTTACTTCAATATGATGGTTATTATATCAATACACATAAAGGCGTTTCCACCGCCATTTCTCGCATAATTCATTTTACCGACAGCTACTGGCAGTAGCTATCTTCAGCTACTGGCCAATTTGCCCATTCAGAGTGGACTGTCACTCATCTACCTACAGTAGGGTGCCAGTCTGGCTCTGCTTTGTCCATGTCTAGCACAGAAAAATCCAGGGAATCAATCAATATAGAAAGAGAGAAAGAAAGCGAGAGGGAGAAAGAGAGACATACAGTGAGGGATGCTGATTTTGTACATTTGCCCACTGACAAAGAAATGATCAGTCTATAATTTTAATGGTAGATTTATTTGAACAGTGAGAGACAGAATAACAACAAAAAAATCCAGAAAAACGCATGTACAAAAATGTATGAATTGATTTGCATTTTAATGAGGGAAATAAGTATTTGAGCCCCCTCTCAATCAGAAAGATTTCTGGCTCCCAGCTGTCTTTTATACAGGTAACGAGCTGAGATTAGGAGCACACTCTTAAAGGGAGTGCTCCTAATCTCAGCTTGTTACCTATATAAAAGACACCTGTCCACAGAAGCAATCAATCAATCAGATTCCAAACTCTCCACCATGGCCAAGACCAAAGAGCTCTCCAAGGATGTCAGGGACAAGATTGTAGACCTACACAAGGCTGGAATGGGCTACAAGACCATCGCCAAGCAGCTTGGTGAGAAGGTGACAACAGTTGGTGCGATTATTCGCAAATGGAAGAAACACAAAAGAACTGTCAATCTCCCTCGGCCTGGGGCTCCATGCAAGATCTCACCTCGTGGAGTTGCAATGATCATGAGAACGGTGAGGAATAAGCCCAGAACTACACGGGAGGATCTTGTCAATGATCTCAAGGCAGCTGGGACCATAGTCACCATGAAAACAATTGGTAACACACTACGCTGTGAAGGACTGAAATCCTGCAGCGCCCGCAAGGTCCCCCTGCTCAAGAAAGCACATATACAGGCCCGTCTGAAATTTGCCAATGAACATCTGAATGATTCAGAGGAGAACTGGGTGAAAGTGTTGTTGTCAGATGAGACCAAAATGGAGCTCTTTGGCATCAACTCAACTCGCCGTGTTTGGAGGAGGAGGAATGCTGCCTATGACCCCAAGAACACCATCCCCACCGTCAAACATTATGCTATGGGGGTGTTTTTCTGCTAAGGGGACATGACAACTTCACCGCATCAAAGGGACGATGGACGGGGCCATGTACCGTCAAATCTTGGGTGAGAACCTCCTTCCCTCAGCCAGGGCATTGAAAATGGGTCGTGGATGGGTATTCCAGCATGACAATGACCCAAAACACACGGCCAAGGCAACAAAGGTGTGGCTCAAGAAGTAGCACATTAAGGTCCTGGAGTGGCCTAGCCAGTCTCCAGACCTTAATCCCATAGAAAATCTGTGGAGGGAGCTGAAGGTTCGAGTTGCCAAACGTCAGGCTCGTAACCTTAATGACTTGGAGAAGATCTGCAAAGAGGAGTGGGACAAAATCCCTTCTGAGATGTGTGCAAACCTGGTGGCCAACTACAAGAAACGTCTGACCTCTGTGATTGCCAACAAGGGTTTTGCCACCATGTAGTAAGTCATGTTTTGCAGAGGGGTCAAATACTTATTTCCCTCATTAAAATGCAAATCAATTCATAACATTTTTGACATTCGTTTTTCTGGATTTTTTTGTTGTTATTCTGTCTCTCACTGTTCAAATAAACCTACCATTAAAATTATAGACTGATCATTTCTTTGTCAGTGGGCAAACGTACAAAATCAGCAGGGGATCAAATACTTTTTTCCCTCACTGTAGCTATGGAAACAATCCTGTTCTTACAGTCACCTCGTATTACCATTGTACCAGTCAGACAGTTTGGCCATTGAGTGGAAAACAAGAAGAAGATGAAGAAGAAGGCAATTACTCTACACCTAAATAAAGAAATAAAGAATAAAAACAACAAGTGTTAAAGTAATGAACCAACAGCCATGCTTATTTTGCCTTGACGCTGAGCAGTAGCAGCATCTTTCTGGCAAGCTGGAGGTTTGTGTGTCTGTGTCTTTAACAAACTGGATCAACCCAGCGTCGTAATCAATGCAATCACTTCAACAAATCTCCATTCAGCAGCAGCGTGAGTAACAGACTGTTCCCACGCACTTTTTACAAATCATCAACAGACAGACACCACAAACAGACACTCATCTGTTTCATATCTGCCTTCACCAGACGGTATTCTGCTCCTACGACCATCCTAACAGATGTTGAAAAATCCCTCCAATTTTATCACAGTCTCTAGCAAATGTTTTTCATCAATTTGGACACATTTGGACTTCTGTCTGTAATCATCTTAGTTCTATTTTCTGCGACTTTGCTTTAATTGAGTGTGAAAAATAGCATTGGAATATAATAATATGTTTTAATGTTTTGTATGGCATTCTGTACCATTGCCACAGTCATTCATTCTAATCTAAACTCACTACTTTGTTATGATAAATGTACATCTCGATGGAATATACCACATTTGCATTCAATTTTCCGACCTGCTCAACCAATAAACAGAGTTTGATTTCCAGGCTAAAAACAATAATACAACATGGGAGGCTGTCTTAACCTCATCCATTTCCATTTCTTGTGGGGAAATGTGGGATATGTATACTGTGGGTTGGTTCAGTCTTTTTTCTGAGTGGTAAAAATCCACATTTCATACCATCTCCATCACTCCCTTTTACTTTCCCAACAATACCAACCTATTCTGATCACAGTAGACACAAAAACAGGTCTCAAAAAGCTGGTTCAGAATTACAATACCTAATTTGGTGCCAAAAGACATTCACAGGGTCAATAGAAGACAGTAGTCTTTGATGGTTGGATTAAATCAGCTCTGGCCTCCCTCTCTCTCTGTCTCTGTCTCTCTCTCTCTCCCTCTCTCTCTCTCTCTCTCGCTCTCATATCAGTGTATGCTGATACGTGCTCCCAATACCAGACAGACTGTATGGTCTCTCATTCTTCTCCACTGACTTTGTCATCATTTCTGCACTGATTCCCTTTCATCGTCCCCCTCTTTCTCATCAGTATTCCAAGGGGTCAAAACTAGGAAGACCAGTGCACTCTCTCTTTTGCTCCCTCCCTCGCTCATCGTTTCTCTCTCTCTCTCACTCTAACACATTAACACAAAACCTTGGAAGAATACTACAGCACAAGCTGCTTCAGTGTATGCATTGTCTATAAAGGTGTATTGTGTCTTGTGTTAGAAGTTAACCTCTCTCCATGGGATTCAATATTTTGATTATGGAAAAACGTTGATTTCAACAAATAACATTTTTGTATTTGATTTGCAAATCCATAGCAAATTACAACCTGCTTTTGTCAGCACATCTCTCAAAATGTGGTCTCCAACTAGTCACCCACCCACCCACGCACGCACATGCACACTACACACACACAAGCGCACACAGTATACAGCTCTATTTTGGTGGCCTCTGATTTTGGGTTAAGGTTAAGGTAAGTGTTAGGGTTAGGTTTAGGGTTAGGGAAAATATGATTTTGAATAGGTCTGAATTGTGTGTCCCCACAAGGTTAGCTGTACAAGACTGTGTGTGCATGTGTGTGTGTGTTAGTAGCAGCGGCATGGCTGGGAGGGGATGGCCACCATGGCCCCCAGGCAGCAGCCCCAGCCCCATGAAGACTCAGGGAGTAACATCCCATTAGAATTGTAATTACAACCTCGACACGATAGCATAACCGCTCCGTCCGTCCGCACGCACGCACACACACATACACACACACTAGGTCGAATCCCTTGAGCAAGGCACTTAACCCTAATTGCTCCAGGGTTGGCGTGGATAATGGCTGACCTTGGCCATGACCCCACTCTCCAAGGGTGTCTCAGGGAGAGTTGGGATATGCAAAAACGCATTTCCAAATCACACATGCATATTAATACACACTTTTATATGTGTGAAATAGGACAAATATAAGCACCCACCAAATTATCACTAACCACCAGAACATGGTGATTTTATTACAGGGACCCCTACATTACTTAATACCTTCATTACCAAAGACAATGGCTTAATTATAGAGTGGCTAGAACATCAAATGGGGAACGTCACAATCAATGGTTGGTAATGGAGTTGGTAGTGTCTGTTTATTGTCAGACCTGACAAGGGCGGCGTTTAGGGCTCCAGCCAGTCAGTCATAGGACGCGTCCCAAATTGTACCCTATAGTGCACAACGTTTCACCAGAGCTAAACAGGTTAGTGTTTAATGGTAGCCCTGTGCGTCACTGTTGGAATTCACTTATTGTAGCCTATAGTATGTGTTGAGGTACAGCTGGTTCGAATCCCAGAGACGACTAGGTGAAACATCTGTCAATGTGCCCTTGAGCAAAACAATTGCTCCCATAAGTCGCTCTGGATAAGAGCGTCTGCTAAATGACTCCACTAAAGCAAAACCTATTGCTGTTGTTGAACAACATGGTAGGGCAGAAATTAGTGATATATGTTGGACAATCCTGATCCCTGGTATTGTGGCAGATACAGTCTGTTTAGCTGTTTCTACAGGCTTTCATTCATAGCCATTTATTTTATGTCCATGAATAGAAAGGAAAGGTACAGGCATGAAGACCGAAGGTCCTGTACTGTTTTCAACATTCAAGCGACAGCTCAAAAGTAAGTGAATAGAATTAATAAATTACATTACAAAATCTATACAAATCTACTTCAAAGTTGATACCCATCTCAGCTTCAGACTAAACGGTTCACTCCCCATGAATAGGAACCTGATAACTATCAGCAAGCAACCCACACACACCCCGGAAATTAAATTAAATTCATACAGTAGTGATGATTCCTCCTCACTACAATTATACCTTATGGTACTATGATTACTTTCCCATTGTATATGCAAATCGCACACAAATTCTAGGAAATGAATTACTGAAGTAATCAAAGTCTATTCAAGTGAAGATTACTTACGTGTCTGAAAAAAAGTTAAAAGACCAAATTGACAATAAAACTTCAAAATGTTATGTTAGTAAATGTAACTTTAATTCCTTATTGCCCTTTTGAAAATACTTTCATTTGGAATAATAATACAATTTTGAGAAACATTTTGAAATGTTAATTGCCTTTATGTCCCATTCAACCAAAGTGACTGCAGCTAAACCTGCATTTTTCACTTCGTACATACAGATGTAGGATCTTAATTTGAGCCAATTTGCTACAGCAGGAAAATAATCCTGCAGCAACGGGAAATGTGGATTATTATGTGCATTATAATTCATGGGCATTTGTTTAGGGTTTGATACATTTTTTCGTGAGGGAAAATCAAGTCTGAAATGTCTAAGTGGAAATTACAAACTTCTAAAGCCTTTTTAAACCTCAAATACACTACAAGTTTTACATTTCCTGCAGCAGGGTGAATAAATTAAGATATTACATCTGTACATATGACTCCTTATCGATCTTTATTCTTCTCATATACTGCATGTCCATGTCAAGACTTTTGAATCATCACGTGTCAAAGACTGACACTTTCTGATGACTAAAGAAGTTTGCTGTGTGTGTCAGAATAATTCTTATTGTTAAACCATGGTATTTCAAATCAAATCAAATTGTATTGACCACATGCGCCGAATACAATAGGTGTAGACATTACAGTGAAATGCTTACTTACAGCCCTTAACCAACAATGCATTTATTTTTTTATAAAAAAGTAAAATAAAAACAACAACAAAAAAGTGTTGAGAAAAAAAGAGCAGAAGTAAAATAAAATAACAGTAGGGAGGCTATATATATACAGGGGGTTACCGGTGCAGAGTCAATGTGCAGGGGCACCGGCTAGTTGAGGTAATATGTACATGTGGGTAGAGTTAAAGTGACTATGCATAAATAATTAACAGAGTAGCAGCAGCGTAAAAATATGGGGTGGAGGTGGGGGGGCAGTGCAAATAGTCTGGGTAGCCATGATTAGCTGTTCAGGAGTCTTATGGCTTGGGGGTAGAAGCTGTTGAGAAGTATTTTGGACCGCTTGCCGTGTGGTAGCAGAGAGAACAGTCTATGACTAGGGTGGCTGGAGTCTGACAATTTTGAGGGCATTCCTCTGACACCGCCTGGTATAGAGGTCCTGGATGGCAGGAAGCTTGGCCTCAGTGATGTACTGGGCCGTACGCACTACCCTCTGTAGTGCCTTGCGGTCAGAGGCCGAGCAGTTGCCATACCAGGCAGTGATGCAACCAGTCAGGATACTCTAGATGGTGCAGCTGTATAATTTTTTGAGGATCTGAGGACCCATGCCAAATCTTGTCTCCTGAGGGGGAATAGGCTTTGTCGTGCCCTCTTCACGACTGTCTTGGTGTGTTTGGGCCATGATAGTTCGTTGGTGATGTGGACACCAAGGAACTTGAAGCTCTCAACCTGTTCCACTACAGCCCCGTCAATGAGAATAGGGGTGTGCTCAGTCCTCTTTTTTTCCCTGTAGTCACACGGCCAGGTCTCTGACCTCCTCCCTATAGGCTGTCTCATAGTTGTCGGTGATCAGGCCTACCACTGTTGTGTCATCGGCAAACTTAATGATGGTGTTGGAGTCGTGCCTGGCCATGCAGTCATGGGTGAACAGGGAGTACAGGAGGGGACTGAGCACGCACCCCTGAGGGCCCCCCGTGTTGAGGATCAGTGTGGCAGATGTGTTGTTACCTACCCTTACCACCTGGGGGCAGCCCGTCAGGAAGTCCAGGATTTATTGTAATATTTTTTTGTTAAATGGCTATCAATAAGTTACAGTGGCTTGCGAAAGTATTCACCCCCGTTGGCATTTTTCCTATTTTGTTGCCTTACAACCTGGAATTAAAATGGATTTTTTGGGGGTTTGTATCATTTGATTTACACAACACGCCTACCACTTTGAAGATTTTTTGAAAACTCAGCTATTCTTGAAAAAAACAAGAAATAATAAAAACAGAAAACTTGAGCGTGCATAACTATTCACCACCCCAAAGTCAATACTTTGTAGAGCCACCTTTTGCAGCAATTACAGCTGCAAGTCTGGGGTTTGTCTCTATAAGCTTGGCACATCTAGCCACTGGGATTATTGCCCATTCTTCAAGGCAAAACTGCTCCAGCTCCTTCAAGTTGGATGGGTTCCAATGGTGTACAGCAATCTTTAAGTCATACCACAGATTCTCAATTGGATTGAGGTCTGGGCTTTGACTAGGCCATTCCAAGACATTTAAATGTTTCCCCTTAAACCACTCGAGTGTTGCTTTAGCAGTATGCTTAGGGTCATTGTCCTGCTGGAAGGTGAACCTCTGTCCCAGTCTCAAATCTCTGGAAGACTGAAACAGGTTTCCCTCAAGAATTTCCCTGTATTTAGTGCCATCCATCATTCCTTCAATTCTGACCAGTTTCCCAGTCCCTGCCGATGAAAAACATCCCCACAGCATTTTTATTTTTAATGTATTTATTTTATTTCACCTTTATTTAACCAGGTAAGCCAGTTGAGAACAAGTTCTCAATTATAACTGCGACCTGGCCAAGATAAAGCAAAGCAGTGCGATAAAAACAACACAGAGTTAGATATGGGGTAAACAAAACAAAGTCAAAAATACAAAGAGAAAATATATATACAGTGTGTGCGAATGTAGTAAGTTATGGAGGTAAGGCAATAAATAGGCCATAGTGCAAAATAGTTACAATTTCGTATTAACTCTGGAATGATAGATGTGCAAAAGATGATGTGCAAATAGAGATACTGTGGTGCAAATTAGCAAAATAAATAACAATATGGGGATGAGGTAGTTGGGTGGGCTAATTTCAGAATGGCTGTGTACAGGTGCAGTGATCGGTAAGCTGCTCTGACAACTGACGCTTAAAGTTAGTGAGGGAGATAAGAGTCTCCAGCTTCAGAGATTTTTGCAGTTCGTTCCAGTCATTGGCAGCAGAGAACTGGAAGGAATGGCGGCCAAAGGAGGTGTTGGCTTTGGGGATGACCAGTGAGATATACCTGCTGGAGCACAGACTACGGGTGGGTGTTGCTATGGTGACCAGTCAGCTAAGGTAAGATGGGGATTTGCCTAGCAGTGATTTATAGATGACCTGGAGCCAGTGGGTTTGGCGACAAATATGTAGTGAGGGCCAGCCAACAAGAGCGTACAGGTCACAATGGTGGGTAGTATATGGGGCTTTGGTGACAAAATGGATGGCACTGTGATAGACTACATCCAATTTGCTGAGTAGAGTGTTGGAGGCTATTTTGTAAATGACAATCGCCGAAGTCAAGGATCGGTATGATAGTCAGTTTTACGAGGGCATGTTTGGCAGCATGAGTGAAGGAGGCTTTGTTGCGAAATAGGAAGCCGATTCTAGATCTAACTTTTGACTGGAGATGCTTAATGTGAGTCTGGAAGGAGAGTTTACAGTCTAACAGACACCTAGGTATTTGTAGTTGTCCACATACTCTAGGTCAGACCCGCCGAGAGTAGTGATTCTAGTCGAGTGGGCGGGTGCAAGCAGCGTTCGGTTGAAGAGCATGCATTTAGTTTTACTAGTGTTTAAGAGCAGTTGGAGGCTACGGAAGGAGTGTTGTATGGCGTTGAAGCTCGTTTGGAGGTTTGTTAACACAGTGTCTAATGAAGGGCCAGATGTATACAAAATGGTGTCGTCCGCATAGAGGTGGATCTGAGCGTCACCAGCAGCAAGAGCAACATCATTGATATACACTGAGAATAGAGTCGGCCCGAGAATTGAACCCTGTGGCACCCCCATAGAGACGGCCAGAGGTCCAGACAACAGGCCCTCCGATTTGATTGAACTCTATCTGAGAAGTAGTTGGTGAACCAGGCGAGGCAGTCATTAGAGAAACCAAGGCTATTTAGTCTGCCAATAAGAATGCGGTGGTTGACAGAATCGAAAGGCTTGGCCAGGTCGATGAAGACGGCTGCGCAGTACTGTCTTTTATCGATCGCGGTTATAATATCGTTTAGGACCTTGAGCGTGGCTGACGTGCACCCATGACCAGCTCGGAAACCGGATTGCATAGCGGAGAAGGTACAGTGGGATTCGAAATGGTCGGTGATCTGTTTGTTAAGTTGGCTTTCAAATACTTTCGAAAGGCAGGGCAGGATGGATATAGGTCTGTAACAGTTTGGATCTAGAGTGTCACCCCCTTTGAAGAGGGGGATGACCGCGGCAGCTTTCCAATCTCTGGGGATCTCAGACGTTACGAAAGAGAGGTTGAACAGGCTAGAAATAGGGGTTGTGACAATTTCGGCGGCTAATTTTAGAAAGAAAGGGTCCAGATTGTCTAGCCCAGCTGATTTGTAGGTGTCCAGATTTTTCAACTCTGCAAGTTGCAGCGGAGGGTGCAGAGCTGGTGGCCGGGGTAGTGGTAGCCAGGTGAAAAGCATGGCCAGCCGTAGCAAAATGCTTGTTGAAATTCTCGATTATTGTAGATTTATCGGTGGTGAGAGTGTTTTTTCTAGCCTCAGTGCAGTGGGCAGTTGGGAGGAGGTGCTCTTATTTTCCATGGACTTTACAGTGTCCCAAAACTTTTTGGAGTTAGTGCTACAGGATGCACATTTCTGTTTGAAAAAGCTAGCCTTTGCTTTCCTAACTGATTGTGTATATTGGTTCCTGACTTCCCTGAAAAGTTGCATATCGCGGGGGCTGTTCGATGCTAATGCAGTACGCCACAGGATGTTTTTGTGCTGGTCAAGGGCAGTCAAGTCTGAGGAGAACCAGGGGCTATATCTGTTCTTAGTTCTGAATTTTTTGAATGGGGCATGCTTATTTAAGATTGAGAGGAAAGCACTTTTAAAGAACAACCAGGCATCCTCTACTGACGGAATGAGGTCAATATCATCCAGGATACCCGGGCCAGGTCAATTAGAAAGGCCTGCTCGCTAAAGTGTTTTAGGGAGTGTTTGACAGTGATGAGAGGTGGTCGTTTGACCGCGGACCCATTACGGACGCAGGCAATGAGGCACTGATCGCTGAGATCCTGGTTGAAGACAGCGGAGGTGTATTTAGAGGGTAAATTTGTCAGGATGATATCTATGAGGGTGCCCATGTTTACAGATTTAGGGTTGTACCTGGTAGGTTCGTTGATCATTTGTGTGAGATTGAGGGCATCTAGTTTAGATTGTAGGTTGCCCGGGGTGTTAAGCATATCCCAGTTTAGGTCACCAAGAAGTACGAACTCTGAGGATAGATGGGGGGCAATCAGTTCACATATGGTGTCCAGGGCACAGCTCGGGGCTGAGATGGGTCTGTAGCAAGTTTTTAGAAGTAGAAGCTCAAACTATTTGGGCACAGACCTGGATAGTACGATAGAGCTCTGCAGGCTATCTCTACAGTAGATTGCAATCCCACCCCCTTTGACAGTTCTATCGAGACGGAGAATGTTGTAGTTCGGGATGGACATTTCTGAATTTTTGGTGGCCTTCCTAAGCCAGGATTCAGACACTGCTGGAACATCAGGGTTGGCGGAGTGTGCTAACGCAGTGAATAACTCAAATTTAGGGAGGAGGCTTCGGATGTTAACGTGCAAGAAACCAATGCTTTTACGGTTACAGAAGTCAACAAATGATAATGCCTGGGGAGTAGGAGTGATACTGGGGGCTACAGGGCCTGGGTTAACCTCTACATCACCAGAGGAACAGAAGAGGAGTAGAATATGGATACGGCTAAAGGCTTTAAGTACTGGTCTTCTAGTGCGTTGGGTACAGAGAAAAAAAGGGGCAGGTTTCCGGGCGTAGTAGAATAGATTCAGGGCATTATGTACAGAAAAGGATATGGAAGGATATGAGTACATTGGAGCTAAACCTAAGCGTTGGGTAACGATGAAAGAGATAGCATCACTGGAGGCACCGATTGAGTCGGTCTCCGCGTGTATGGGGGGTGGAACAAAGGAGCTATCTATGGCAGGTTGAGCTGGGCTGGGGGAGCTACAGTGAAATAGTACAATAAGAAATAACCAAATAAGCAGGGCATACTGAAATGGGAGAGAGGCATAAAGCAATCACAGGTGTTATTTGAGAGAGCTAAGACAACAGCTGGTAATGGCGACAAAGTTTGGGCTGAGGCTAAACATAAACAGGATGCGGTACCGTATAAAGGAACAGTCCAGCAGGCATCAGCTGTATAGCTGAGTTATCATAAGGTCCGGTGAACAGCAATAGGAGAGTTCGGAGGTAGTTCGGGGGCTTCTATAGCACTGGCGAGCAAGAGGCCACGGCTAGCGTGTGCTTGCCGGCCGGGGCTAGCAGATGGATCTTCGTGGTCGACGTCGTAACGGGAAACCTGTTGTAATCACATCAAACGATTTCGTCGTTAGACCAGTCGTGATGCTGCCACCACCATGCTTCACTGTGGGGATGGTGTTCTCGGGGTGATGAGAGGCGTTGGGTTTGCGCCAGACATAGCATTTTCCTTGATGGCCAAAAAGCTCAATTTTAGTCTAATCTGACCAGAGTACCTTCTTCCATATGTTTGGGGAGTCTCCCACATGCCTTTTGGCGAACACCAAACGTGTTTGCTTATTTTTTTCATTAAGCAATGGCTTTTTCTGGCCACTCTTCCGTAAAGCCCAGCTCTGTGGAGTGTATGGCTTAAAGTGGTCCTATGGACAGATACTCCAATCTCCGCTGTGGAGCTTTGCAGCTCCTTCAGGGTTATCTTTGGTCTCTTTGTTGCCTCTCTGCTTAATGCCCTCATTGCCTGGTCCGTGAGTTTTGGTGGGCGGCCCTCTCTTGGCAGGTTTGTTGTGGTGCCATATTCTTTCAATTTTTTTATAATGGATTTAATGGTGCTCCGTGGGATGTTCAAAGTTTCTGATATTTTTTATAACCCAACCCTGATCTGTACTTCTCCACAACTTTGTCCATGACCTTTTTGGAGAGCTCCTTGGTCTTCATGGTGCCCCTTGCTTAGTGGTGTTGCAGACTATGGGGCCTTTCAGAACAGTTGTATATATACTGAGATCATGTGACACTTAGATTGCACACAGGTGGACTCTATTTAACTAATTATGTAACTTCTGAATACAGTGGAGGTAATTGGTTTCACCAGATCTTATTTAGGGGCTTCATAGCAAAGGGGGTGAATACATATGCACGCACCACTTTTCCGTTATTTTTTTGAAACAAGTTTGTTTTTTCATTTCACTTCACCAATTTGGACTATTTTGTGTATGTCCATGACATGAAATCCAAATAAAAATCAATTTAAATTACAGGTTGTAATGCAACAAAATAGGAAAAACACCAAGGGGGATTAATACTTTTGCAAGGCACTGTATATAAAGACAACAGGCAGGTGACTTACTGCATTAAGATGAAGACGATGAGTGTGAAGCCTGCCATGACGATGAAGGGCATGCCAGGGATGGTGGGCAGGGTCAGAGGGTACAGGCCATTAAACATCACCGCTGCAAACATAATACATGTGGTCTCCACAGACGCAGAGAAGGAGAACATCGCACCTGCAGGGTCACAAAAGAAACACAGGTTTACACAGAGCTTTATGTTGACAGAGTTCCATCAACTGAATTCATGAAGGTTCAAATAGTTGTTGCAACTCTCCAAATATAAGGCTCTGGGTTTTCAGTTGTTCTAAGCTTGACGACACAAATTATTCTGAGCATTGATTTCTGTGTTACAAATGCACTTTTTTTGGTGTGATATATTATCTCTCTGTGATGTTGTGACTGTGCTTACAGTACCAACTAGAGATACATAAGATGAATATGGAGCAGAAGGAGGGCAATCTTAAGTGGTTCCAACATGGAATACTTATTGATCTGAGTAGGAGAGACTGGCTGCTAGCTAAGTACTTTTGAATGTCAACTTACAGTGGGGAAAAAAAAGTATTTAGTCAGCCACCAATTGTGCAAGTTCTCCCACTTAAAAAGATGAGAGAGGCCTGTAATTTTCATCATAGGTACACGTCAGCTATGACAGACAAATTGAGATTTTTTTTCTCCAGAAAATCACATTGTAGGATTTTTTATGAATTTATTTTCAAATTATGGTGGAAAATAAGTATTTGGTCACCTACAAACAAGCAAGATTTCTGGCTCTCACAGACCTGTAACTTCTTCTTTAAGAGGCTCCTCTGTCCTCCACTCGTTACCTGTATTAATGGCACCTGTTTGAACTTGTTATCAGTATAAAAGACACCTGTCCACAACCTCAAACAGTCACACTCCAAACTCCACTATGGCCAAGACCAAAGAGCTGTCAAAGGACACCAGAAACAGAATTGTAGACCTGCACCAGGCTGGGAAGACAATCTGCAATAGGTAAGCAGCTTGGTTTGAAGAAATCAACTGTGGGTGCAATTATTAGGAAATGGAAGACATACAAGACCACTGATAATCTCCCTCGATCTGGGGCTCCACGCAAGATCTCACCCCGTGGGGTCAAAATGATCACAAGACCAGTGAGCAAAAATCCCAGAACCACACGGGGGTACCTAGTGAATGACCTGCAGAGAGCTGGGACAAAAGTAACAAAGCCTACCATCAGTAACACACTACGCCGCCAGGGACTCAAATCCTGCAGTGCCAGACATGTCCCCCTGCCTAAGCCAGTACATGTCCAGGCCCGTCTGAAGTTTGCTAGAGTGCATTTGGATGATCCAAAAGAGGATTGGGAGAATGTCATATGGTCAGATGAAACCAAAATAGAACTTTTTGGTAAAAACTCAACTCGTCGTGTTTGGAGGACAAAGAATGCTGAGTTGCATCCAAAGAACACCATACCTACTGTGAAGCATGGGGGTGGAAACATCATGCTTTGGGGCTGTTTTTCTGCAAAGGGACCAGGACGACTGATCCGTGTAAAGGAAAGAATGAATGGGGCCATGTATTGTGAGATTTTGAGTGAAAACCTCCTTCCATCAGCAAGGGCATTGAAGATGAAACGTGGCTGGGTCTTTCAGCATGACAATGATCCCAAACACACCGCCCGGGCAACGAAGGAGTGGCTTCGTAAGAAGCATTTCAAGGTCCTGGAGTGGCCTAGCCAGTCTCCAGATCTCAACCCCATAGAAAATCTTTGGAGGGAGTTGAAAGTCCGTGTTGCCCAGCGACAGCCCCAAAACATCACTGCTCTAGAGGAGATCTGCATAGAGGAATGGGCCAAAATACCAGCAACAGTGTGTGAAAACCTTGTGAAGACTTACAGAAAACATTTGACCTGTGTCATTGCCAACAAAGGGTATATAACAAAGTATTGAGAAACTTTTGTTATTGACCAAATACTTATTTTCCACCATAATTTGCAAATAAATTCATTAAAAATCTTACAATGTGATTTTCTGGATTTTTTTTTCTCATTTTGTCTGTCATAGTTGACGTGTACCTATGACGAAAATTACAGGCCTCTCTCATCTTTTTAAGTGGGAGAACTTGCACAATTGGTGGCTGACTATATACTTTTTTCCCCCACTGTATAAGTGGCAGTGCAACATGCCTTCAGAATAAAAACAATGGGAAAACAAAACCTGTTGTTTCTTACATGAACATACTGTACAGGCTGTACATAAATGCAACAGCAGGCTTTGCGTTTCACATAATTATACAGGGGCATTACAGTAGCTAAGTATCTAGACAAAGTAGCTATTTAGCTCTTAAAAACCTTGATTGCTATCCAATGTTCTTTTGCCTGCAAGAACAGAATCATTATTTGTGGTGCAATGATTTGAGAAATAATCAAGGTTACCAATCTTTCAATGCAGGTATACATTCTACATAGCATTTTGTTTCAATAAAGGGACTGAATAAGAGAAAGGAACAACAAAATGTCACTGTGCATCATTTGTTCATCCAACCATTCTCTGATGTGGCCATGATGGACTTAGAGAGAACACAGAACATCCACAAGGCTGCTGGCCTTGTTCTCCATGCTGAGGATGTCAAGGTTCATCAAAATATAATAACATGCATCTTTCTCTCAGGAGTTTGACTTGAGGAACAGGGAACATTCCAGGTCAAGGGTTGAGTGTTAAACTGTCTCTTTTCATTTCAGTATTGTTGAAGTGTAATGTAAGGTGTGAGGGTGCTTCCTCTTCAGGTTTCTTTCTTTCTATGGAGGTTTTCCTTGCCACTGTGATTCCGCTTGTTTTTTGGGGTCTAGGTTAAGTTACTGTGAGGCACTTTGTGAACACTTGATGTAAAAAGGGCTTTATAAGTCAAATGTGATGGAGAAAATGTGGTGGATCTCAGGACCCACCTTGTTCGTCTGGCTCTACGATGGCGGAGGACAGAGAGCGTATGACAGCCTGAGTGATGCCAGCAGGGGCAGACACCACAGCCACTGGGGGAAAGGGACAGACAGAACAAGGCAGAGGAGGTCAGACAGAACAAAATGAGGACAGATAGGACAGAACAGGGGGACATAGAGGACAGGACAAACGGGCAGACAAACAGGACAGGAGAACAGAAGAGGACAGACGGGACAGGAGGACAGGGCAGACAAGACAGGCCGACAGGACAGACAGGACAAGAGGGCAGACAGGAAAGGAGGACATACATCCCAGAAGTGGACAGACAGGATAGAGCAGAACAAGACAAAGTTACATTAAAAAACTAGTTATTCTAGAAGCTTCTATCTATAAGACATAATATAAGCCAATAAACTGCTTTATCTATGAGAATACTGTCAGCAGTAGGCGATGCTGTGTGGTAGATTAATAAATGGCAGCTTAAATTATGGTAGTTTGATTAAAAACTATTCTTACACCTAAAGTAACAAATCATCATTATCATCACAGCAATGTGCAATTATTCCACCTTACTCCTAATGACTGTAAAAACTAATGGGAGATATAATCTCAGGTTGTGTCACGGATTCTGCCGAGGCTGCCCCTCCTCCTTGCTCGGGCAGGCTTCTGCGTTCGTCATCACCAGAATACTAGCTGCTGCCGATCTATGTTCTATGTTTCTATGTTGCACCTGTTGTCTATTGTCACACACCTGTTGCCCATTATTGTAATCACGCCTTCCCTATTTAACCCAGTGGCTCCCAATGTGTTTTGTGCGTGGTTGTTTTCGTTTCGTGTGTCGTTTGTGAGCGGGTTAGTTCCTCCCTGTGTGGAGAGATTTCTGTATTGTATTCTTTACTAATTTCTCAGTAAAGTAAGTTTCTTCGAGTCCTGACTTCGACCCACCGCATTACACTGACACTCGTGACAGGTTGATTTGTTGTTAAGCTCAGTCACATTAAAGGGGAAGTGAGGGTAAGGCATTGCATTCTCCTTTATTAGAACATACAGTTTAAAGCCTACTCATCACAAATGAGGATGTGTGTGGGTGTGTGGGTGTGTGTGTTCGTTTGCACCGTGTGTGTGAGTGTATGTTGTGTGTAAGTGTGCTGTTTGTGTACTTATGTGTATTACTTGAAGTTGCACTATGCAGAAATCGCGCCGTCATTTCCTGGTTGCTAAAATTCAAATAGTTTGCCTAATTTCAGTTTGTGACAAAACAAGCAAGTATAGAGTAGAGAATCATTGTACCATCTAAACCACTGTGAAATATATTTTCCATAACCAAAAATATTGTATTTTCAGCTGTTTGAAGCTGGTGTACAAACCGAAAGTAAAAGACGCAAAAACGAAACGTAAGAACGGGAAGCATAGAAATAGTGCACATAGAACAGATCTAACGCTTCTTAGAATTGCTTTGACCTATTGCAGCTTTAAACATGCAGTCAGACCAACCAACTCCTGCCTGGCTATGGGAAGGGAGGTGATGACTCTAAAGATGTACCAGTGTGCTAACCCTCATTATCCCAGGCAGAGGAAGAGAGCAGAATGCAGATATCTGGTGAGGTTGCAGCTGATTATTCACACAATGCTTAAAAATGTGTGTGTGGTCACGCCACTCATCTCCCCTCTAAAATGCTTTAGTCCACCTCCACGTCGATTACAATAACAATTTCCACAACAATTTATTTAATTAAGGATATCAATACCCATCCTGTCCATCTCCCTCGGTCTCAAAAGCCTGTCTGACCACTAGGCCAGCACAATGCACTGTTATCTTAAAGGTGTCTGTGTTTTAATAACAACTTTACATACTCCAGGACAAAAGGATTTGTCTATTTTTAATTAAAGCACAGCAGTGTCAACATCACCACAACTCCTGGCTAAAATCCAATCCAGCCTGTACTCTTAATTTTGCAGTCTTAACTTCATCAGTTACGAAGGTCTCTGCATATTGTGAAACCAGGGGTGGCCACCCTCCTCCCAGAACACACCTGATACAGCCAATCAGGGTCCTGGTGAGTAGCCGATTCCTAGAATCAGGTGTGTTAGATAAGGGTTGGAGCAAAAGCCTACAGGACGGTAACTCTACAGGAAGAGGGTAGGGCACCACAACTTTTCTATTTGAGAAAACATCAGGGCTTTTATTCATAGTGTCTCAGAGTAGGAGTGCAGATCTATCCGTATTCTTAGAAACTTTGTGAATAATCGGCCCAGAATTTCATATTAGTTCAGTACATCATCAATCCATACATAGGTTCCCTCACCTAGAAACACCATCCATGTGTTAGTGGAGAAGGCCATTAGAACTAAGCCTGCTGTCCTGAAGAGCACACTCACTTTGGCCAGAGTTATCTCTCCTACCACTCTCATAAGCAGCGGGAAGATCCCCAGCAGGGTAAACCCCTAGGACAAAACATCACATACCTTTAGACATTCTTTACTTTTTATTGCAAATTATGTTTGATGCTTGATTGGAAGTTGAATGAATTGGATACATTCTTGAGCAAATTGATAATACAGAGTATATAATTCCTAATAATTAACAATCTGCAATTACAGTTTGGCAATCAATTTACTGGCAGCTCCTAAAAAATACAATTTGGGGTAGTGGGAAAGTCTGCCGTTTGGCTTTTTTTCCTACAACGAGTCATTATATATTTGAACCTCAGATTCCTTAGTTAGCCAAAACACTGCATCAATTAACCTTTAGAGATTGTGCATGATGAGATGGTGTCAAAACAAGAAACATGGATTATTTATGTATGCATGTGTGTGTGTACACGCCTGTGTGTGCAGGCTATATATGTGCGTGCATACACTTCACGCCTGAGTGTGTGTGTCTGTTTATGCCTGTCAGTGTGCCTGTGTGTAATGTGACTCATTTGCCCCCTTTGTCTAAAAGCTGACAGATTTGATTTAATTATCCCGTCCAGCTCAGGGTGACAAGTTGCCAGTGTCCTCATCCCCCCTCCGCCCCCTTCCCTCATCAGCCGTCTCAAATCTGCACTAGGAAACATAACAGGAATGCATAAACATTTCCCTGAGAAGGTCAGCTATCTATGTTTTTACTTTAATCAACTCATTAGAGCTTGTGGTGTTTGTGGTGTTTAATCATTCTTAGGGAACTCTGCTCTGCCCTAATTAAAAGTTAATCTCATTCTCAACCTTTGAACCAATTATTAAAAGCTACCTCAAGGAGAGGAGCGGTGAACTCACCCCTGCTGCCCTCCCAGACCTGCTAAGGTTGTTTCTACTGAGGAGTAATACTTTTTTTAAATGCCATTGCATAACCTTTTGATATTCTATTATGTTAATAACTAACATGAATATTGGGGATGGATTACCTTTGTTAGTATAGCCAAGGCTTAGGCTACAAGTTGCTCATTCTCTCCTCTGCCCTAGCTCGCCCTCTTTTTTCACCTTTCACTGTTTGAATCCTGAGAGCTAAAAAAAAAACCTGTAGTTTTTTCCCCCTTCTGAAGTCTTTCATCAGTTGGTAATTAAAGTGTTGTGTGTTTGTAGCAGAAGGCAATAAGCAACACTCAGACATCCCCCATAGACTACGCACATAATACATCTCCTCCTCCGAATCGATTGGGCTGCCTGCCTCAGAGTCAGCCCAACAAAAGGCAGCAGAGCATTCTGAGAGCCCCTGTGGCACCGTGCGGAGCAGCCGAGCCGACACAGACTAAATGGGAAAGCATCACCTCTCCGATCTGGATTCTGAGCTCTTTAACAAGCAGTCTTTGTTTAAGTGTCACACCAAGACAAGACATCGACCCAGACTCATTCATGAGATCACGAAGGACGAAGAGACACACTCATGTGCGTGCCCCCCCACACACACACACCCAAAGGGTCCCTTGACAGATGGAGAAAATACATACATACAGCATCTCAGTTGTAACTGCTGTGAACATATTAAAACTATGGTTGCTATGGGTTCAGATGGGTAAAGGTCTTGTAAAGTGTAAGTACATTGTTTTTTGTGTGGTTTCAGCGATGCAATGCATTTGTTATATTTAAACTATTTTTGTTTCTATTTTGCTGTTATGTGTTGATTTTGGATTTCTAAACCAAGGTGAATGGTAAGAATAATGTGTCATTGTAAATGTGTGGGGACTGGAACAGTAATTATGTGATCTGAGTCGTCCAAATGTTTTGACAACATTATGCAATGACCAGAGGCAGTACTCTAGGACCATATAAAGCCAAAGGCCATGGGATCATCATTTTTTCAGTTAGATGTAGTTTTATGAGTGCATCAGCTGAACAAATAAACCCATAGCTGCAAGTGGTAAGGCAAACAAATGTAGCTTCCACTTGAAATGTATAGTACAGAGCTGGACCTCTAGTTATGTAGATCAGACTTAAATACTTTTTGCACCATATCAGCCAAATCTTTACATATTATTGTCTTATTACAGTAGAATTATCAATGCATTTCTCAGTGATTTGAGTCTTTAGTTGCTCGGAAAATCTATTGATGTTTGCATTTTGGAGCATCTAAATCACAATCATGACCTTTCTGATGAAGTAGAGCCACTTACCAACAGCAGCATCTGGGCAGATTTGAACACGCCATACAGTTCAGTTGTGAACTCCCTGGGCTCGTACATCAAATAGAGCAAGGAGATAGCCTGCTCTCCTGGAGGGAGGAAACACACACACACAATGAATGATTGCCAAGGTAATTAGTGTTTAGAGCGAGTTTAGGATATAGAGCAAAGGTTCATATAGAGTTGTAATGCAGTTTACATGAACCATAGATTTTCATGACTGTCTTTCACTGGATATTTTTATGAGTAGGTGTACAGGGCAATCACATACTTCTGTAAATACAGACTGTCACTGAAATGGTAGATCTCATTTTCCATTTCATAAAGTAATTGCTAGGAATGATTCTATAAGACATTTGAGATACTGACAATTTTATTCACTGTTTAGGGTTCTATCGCATATGACCTTGCTTGACCACATGGCCTCTTGAATGTATGGACATGCGTTCTGAAGTACATTCGTAATGTATTCATAACCAAGTATGAATTACTATAATGGTAACTATATAACTGACAGCCTTGGGCATTTAAAAAATGTATTGGGTTTATTATGTAGTGTACCATAACTGTACATTAATTTAATAAACATGTGTTCATGTATGGATGACAAACTATACAGTTACATTGAGGTGCTCAATTGTGTTTAAGAAACATTATCCAACATGCAGGAAGTAGGCTTACATATTCCAGTATTCAACGGAAGATATTACATGACATGAGACAGGGAATGTAAACACTGAACCACATTCAACATTGTATCTTGGTGACAGTGAGTGCACAGATGCTGTATTGCTTATACTGTAAAGGCCTACCATACTGTAGGTTTGAAATAAGAAAGCAATGTGACAGCTCCATTGAAATCTCTCAGGGCAATAAGCAACACTCAGACATCCCCCATAGACTACGCACATAATACATCTCCTCCTTCGAATCGATGGGGCTGCCTGCCTCAGAGTCAGCCCAACAAAAGACAGCAGTGCATTCTGAGAGCCCCTGTGGCACCGTGCGGAGCAGCCGAGCCGACACAGACTAAATGGGAAAGCATCACCTCTCAGATCTGGATTCTGAGCTCTTTAACCACATTCAACATTGTTGAGTGCACAGATGCTGTATTGCTTATACTGTGAAGGCCTATCATACTGTATGTTTCAAATAGGAAAACAATGGCATTAACAGCTCATTTGAAAACTCTCAGTTGAACAGCTGTGATGAGACAATAACGATCAAACAACAGATGGAGTTTACTCACCTACAGCTACCAGGTTGTTGATGAATGTGCAGACTATAAGGAGGTGGAGTTTCTGCCTCTGCTGTCCTGGCCTCCTCCTGAACATGGCTCTGAAGGACCTCTTGACATCAGACAGGCACAACAGGTTGGATGATGGTTCAGTGTCAGTATCACCAGCTTCACATGGCAGTCCGTCTCCATCTCCATCTTCCCCTGAGGGTGGAGGTGGGACTGAGCGTTCAGGATCCCGTAACCAAAGCAGAATATAGAACACTGAGAGAACATGGCAGGAGCAGTATGCCACAAATGCAGAGGTCAGCCCAAACTCCTGTATCAAGAAACCCACTAACAAGAACCCCACCGTCCCTCCTACGAAGATCATCGACTCTGCCGCCGCCATACGCAGAGTACGGTTACTCCCCAACCCGGCTGTGACATCTGCTAAGTAACTAAACGAGCTAAGGAACACTGAGACGTATCCTCCAGAGAGGCCCGTTACCCCTGCGGAAGCTAGCGACCAGTACACACTCATGTCCTCCAGCAGAGACATGGCTATGAACACACCACCACTGACCAGAGACATAAGGCAAGGCAGCAGCATGACGGCCTTGCGGCTGGAGCGGTCGGACCAGGAGCCTAGCAGCATGGCTGTAGGGATGGACAGTAGGCTGGTCACACATGTGTAGAGCAGGAGGATGTAGGAGGAACGACCCTCGATCAGCTCCTCCTCATCCTTGTGGTGCGCTGGGCTGCTGCAGATGTAAGAGTCTTGAAACAGCTCATAGCACACCTTGACAGAGGAACAGAGACTTTAAGGGTCTGGTTCCAGACCAAGATGAAGCCTAGTCCTGGAATAGAAAGCGTGCACAATAGAGAATAATTTTTTTTGTCCAGGAATAGCCTTAATCTGGATACAGAAATTGTTCCCTAATTTATTAGGTACTCATGTTAGGGACTATTGATATAATAAAATATTTTCATAATGTCATTTCATAATGACTCCCAGAGCTAATGACTAGGCTTAAGCTCAAAAGACTTACACAGTCTTGAGGCATGTAAAATGGCCTTAGTCGATCCCACAGTTCCCATTGCACAGACTCAAGAACACGTTTAATGCAAACCATACTTCTGCTTCCCTGTCTACATCAATTTCGTGGATAAAATCGAACCCACAGAGCTGAACCTACTCTTGGGGAACCATTTAAATCTGCTTTGCATGCTACTGCAACATGGAAAGTGCTGCAGCATTAATGAGCCCAAACAGACAGATGAGATGTCAGTCTGACCCTATGAAATAATTAAATACATCTGGACAATATCAACCATAAAAACAGAGCAAAATGACACAGAGAAATGTTGGCCCTCGCTGCAAGAGACACGTTGCCTACTGAGTTTTATGTACATAGATGTTTTTCGAATGTTGAACTCTGTATTGTATTCTATTTTTATGTGCATATGCTGCCTCACCTTACATGGATATTGAATTGAGTTCGGCAGAGGTAGGAGAGAGAGGAGGGGGTATAGACTGTATATTAATAAAAAGGCAGGGAGCTGTGAGAATCAGATATTTACATCTGTATGCACTATGTATTCCACAAGCATACAGTAGCCTATATCGGTCCTATGTCTGAGCTTTACATTTGCTTTGAGCTCCATTGAGAAAATAAAAATAAAAAACAACTGTGCCCAAATTGTATACACTCTACTCTGAATTTAGGTATATCATATCGAATGTCAGGTTGATTGATTTAGAGTTTTACTTTTCATATGTCACTGGAAAGGACAGGACTGTTTCACTTAATATTGGTCGAAAGGTTGGTCTAATTGAACATGTATAAGCAACAAAAATACAGTATAGCCTATGCTACTGAAAATAGCAACCGTAGTTCTGATAGTTTAATGAATAGCCTAATAAGCAAACATGTGTAAGTAAACAGGTGTGTTTGATAATGCCGCAAGCGGATCGTTGGCCCACTGTACCTTTGCGATGACCAGCTGTTGATAAGCGGGTGTCACGATAAACGTGCTGGTCATGTAGAAAAAGATTACCGGCTCCACGGTAACGAATGTTCGGATCCGTTGTCCCCATGTTGACATATCGTTGTTGAGTCGCTTTTGCGACAGCAGACAAGTGCAAACACGACTGGTGTAACAGAAATACAAAAGACAAGATAACTCTTGCTACAATTAGCCTATAGGAGGTATAAAAGTTAGAGAAGTCATACAGAGGAGTCACATGTTTGTCCGTATAACGCATCATTACCTCGTCCCTACAGTAAAAATGGACTTCAGTTCCATGTTATAAAAATGAGTCACAGCAGAACCTCGTTCCGTAGTAAAGTAAAAAGGTGCACTCCCAAATGACACTATTCCCAGTATGCACTAGCTACTTTTGTCCATGGTAGGGCTCTGGTCAAAGTAGTGCACTATGTAGGGACTAGCCTATGGGTTGACATTTGGGACGTATTTTTGTGCAAAAGGTCAAACCTTGGCCACCATGGTTTTGCAGACTAGGCTAAACAATAAGACCATGATACAGCTTCCTATTTTCCTTCAGTGGAGTTGGAAAGAACACTACAGAGAGATTTACATTTAAGTCATTTAGCAGACGCTCTTATCCAGAGCGACTTACAGTTAGTGAGTGCATACATTATTTTTTTTATTTTTCATACTGGCCCCCCGTGGGAATCGAACCCGCAACCCTGGCGTTGCAAACGCCATGCTCTACCATCTGAGCTACATCCCTGCCGGCCATTCCCTCCCCTACCCTGGACGACGCTGGGCCAATTGTGCGCCGTCCCGTGGGTCTCCCGGTCGCGGCCGGCTACGACAGAGCCTGGATTCGAACCAGGATCTCTAGTGGCACAGCTAGCACTGCGATGCAGAGCCTTAGACCACTGCGCCACTCGGGAGGCAAGTGACAGGGCCCATCTGACATAAAAAAATGTTGCCTATGTAACCGGTGTGAAATAGCTAGCTAGTTAACGGAGGGCGCTAGTGGCGATTCAATCGGTGACGTCACTCCTATGAGACCTTGAAGTAGTTATTTCCCTTACACTCGCTCTGTGGCGCAATAGGTAACGATGCTTCGAGGTTGACTGTTGTCGATGTGTGCATAGGGTCCCTGGTTACCCCAAAGACGGAAACAACATTGGACGAAGGGGAGGACCATCCTACTCAATGAATTTAAAAGAAAATAACAAAACATTAAAGACATACTCTGGTACTTTCAGTGGTGTAAAAATACTTTAAATTACTACTTCAGTACTTATTTTCTTTCTGTAAATAAAAAACAAAACAAGAAAATGGTGCTGTCTGGTTTGCTTAATATATTATAAGGAATTTGAAATGATTTATACTTTTACTTTTGATACTTAAGTATATTTAAAGCCAAATACTTTCAGACTTTTAGTCAAGTCGTATTTTACTGGGTGACTTTCACATGTTCTATTAAGGTATTACTTTTACTCAAGTATGACCTTTTTCTACCACTGGGTACATTGGCGACTAAGAAAGTATTTTTTAAATCTCCTGCTTTGAGCTAGAGGTGTCAATGTGTAGTTCATACATGCATAATCTATAAGCAGAATTACTGTTTTACCTCAATTAGCCACAAATCCCTAGTTTGAAAGCGACTGTTTTCTTGAAGCTGCGCCACGCCATTTTTCGTACATTTCTCCCCACATGGGATAGCCCCCTAGCAATTCGAGTTCTAGCCAATGAGCTTCAGCCCCTCGCAGTTGAGTGACAGCTAGCAAGAGGACAGCCCAGCGTTATCCAATGAGGTTGTAGGGCGGGCCCAACGGCTCAGTGGACACAGCAGAGAGAGAGAGAGACAGAGACAAATGCCAAATGTATGACCATATTAGAGACACATATTTCCCTCAGATTACAGCGATCCACAAAGAATTCGAAAACAAACCCAATTTTGATAAACTCCCTTATCTACTGGGTGAAAAACCACAGTGTGCCATCACGGCTGCAAGATTTGTGACCTGTTGCCACAAGAAAAGGGCAACCAGTGAAGAACAAACACCATTGTAAATACAACCCATATTTATGTTCATTTATTTTCCCATTTGTACTTGTTTCCTATTTGCACATTGTTACAACACTGTGTATATATATATACACACACACATGACATTTGAAATGTCTTTATTCTTTTGAAACTTCTGAGTGTAATGTTTACTGTTTATTTCACTTTTGTTTACTATCTACTTCACTTGCTTTGACAATGTTAACATACGTTTCCCATGCCAATAAAGCCCTTAAATTGAAATTGAATTGAATTCCGCCTTCTCCCTTTTCGGGCAAGCATGTCACTTATGGCCAACATCCCCACACTCAAAACACTGTTGACTACCCGTACTAGCATACGCCATATACAGTCTGTTGTCATACTTGACTTTAAACGATAACGCCAAAGTCTGCTCCGGTGAGTCCAAAAACACAAACACCTGTCGCCGAAACCTGTTTCAGAGCCGGGTGTTTGAAACCCAACGGGACAATCTTTAATTGAACTTGAAAACTTCCCAAACCGCAATACCTCGCGCTCCAATAGCTCATTGGGAATAAAACAGCGGTACATTTAAAATCTTTACCCTTGTTGACGGAGAAAAAGCGGCGTAACTTGAATAAACATACCTTTAAGAAGTACGCCATGCGCAACCATCCGATCGACAAGACGCTCTTCTTTAAGAAAAACCACCACCGCTTTATTCATCCGCGACGCATAAGCAACATTTTCATAGCCTACCTTCTCTCCAACGGCGACCAGAAACTCTTCCACAGTGACAGTTGCTTCAGTAACACACCTGAAGCCATGCCGAAGTGACAGGGACGGCGTCCCCATGTGGGTCGCTATCCCCACCAAAACCAGGGTAATTCCAACAAGAAATACAATATACCTAATTTTACCACAAAAAAAAAATAATGAATTGAAAAAGGAAAACCACCAAGAAAAGGAAACAAGAAAGAAAACACAGGCGATTTAACTCCAGACAACACTCGCACTTGCTCATACAATTCCCTGCATGCACCAAACACTCTGTCACGATTTCCTCCGAGGCTGCCTCCTCTCCTTGTTCGGGCAGGCTTCAGCGTTCGTCGTCACCGGCCACTGCCGCTCCTCATCTCGTCATTCCATTTGTTTTCTCTTGTTTATTACACACACCTGGTTCATATCCCGTCATCGGTACCTGTATAAGTATTCCCTCTGCCCCCTTGTCGTTGTGTGTGATTGTATATTGTGAGATTAGTGAAGCTCGGTGGAGCTCCTTGTATTTTGTATCACCGGGTTATTTTCCCTATGTGCCTTCTTGGTTTCAGTGCACCTGTTTTGCGCACTGGATTGTTTTGATGCTTTATTGCATAACTCTGTATTCCAGAATAAATCCTGTTATTCTGTGATTTACCCTCCTGCGCCTGTCTTCTTCAAATCACCACATCACAGAATCACACACCCGCCATGGAGTCAGCAGAAGAGGAGCACATGCCTGGAGCCGTGGCACTGGTCCGGGAGCATTCGATGATGCTAGCCAGCTTTGGAGAAGCAATGGATCGGGTTCTCCAGGTCGTCCAAAGCCTGGAGAGGAGAGGACCCGATCTGTCAGGACCAGCTGGGCGACCGGATCCAGCCACCCACTCCCCAGAACCCAGAGGGATCCATATCTCCCGAACACGGGATTTCGACGGGGCAGCTGCTCTCTGCCAGGGATTCCTCCTACAACTGGAGCTATATTATTCAAACATCAGCTCGGCTCCATCGGAGCAGAAGAAGGTGCCCACCCTCGTCTCCTGTCTCTCGGGGAAAGCCCTGGAGTGGGCCAACGCGGTTTGGAGTGAAGGAGGAGCCGCGTTGGACAACTACGGGGAGTTCGCTCGCCTCTTCTGGGCAGTCTTCGACCACCCATCCGAGGGTAGAGAGGCGGGCGAGCGAATGGTCCACCTGAGACAGGGGACGAGGACCGTGAAGGACTTCGCCCTGGAGTTTCAGACTCTAGCGGCTGGGTCCGGGTGGAACGAGCGGGCCCTCATTGACCACTTCCGGTGCCATCTGCGAGAGGACGTCCGAAGGGAGCTAGCCTGCCGGGACACCATGTTGTCCTTCAACCAACTGGTGGACATGGCCATCTGGTTGGACAACCTGCTGGCTGCTAGAGGACGTCCTGGAAGGGGCCTGCCCGTTCCACCCCCCCCCCCCCCCCAACCCGGATCACAAGATGATGGAGCTGGGTGGAGCGGCGATCCGGGAGAGCAGAGGACGACAGCTCCAGTGTCACTCTGGTGGCGCGAGAGGACATTCTCCTTTACAATGTCTTCAGTGTTCTTTTGGGTCTGGAGGCGGCAGGCAGGGCACTCACGCATCACCCCAGGTATCGAACACACACACACTCGTTCAGAGCCCTCTGCTGCGCACTGTAACCTACCCAACTACTTTCCTGATTACATTGTAGTTCCCCAGTGTAAGTCGCTGGTCGTTTCAGGCGCAGGTGGAACTTTATGGACAGGTCATTTTCACATAATCTAGGCATTACATTGGTTCCCCTATCCATTCCACTCCCCATTAGAGCACTTGACAGTCGACCATTAGGGTCCGGGTTCGTTAGGGAAGTTACAGCAGCAGTCACTTTGGTTACGCACGAGACTCATCGAGAGTCACGTTTTTTAAATTTATTATTGAGTCTCCTGATTTCCCTGTTGTGTTAGGTCTTCCCATGGTTAGCACTCCACAACCTCACATTCTCATGGCACAGAGGGTTCTCATGGGGTGGTCGCGAGAGTGTCAGGGTAGGGTAGGTGTTTCCATTGGTGCAACCACGGTGGAAAGTCCAGACAGTACCTCCACCGTGCGCATACCCCCCGACTACCTCGATTTGGCGCACACATTTTCCAAAACGAAGGCGACCAAGTTACCACCTCATCGGGCGGGGGATTGCACGATAAACCTCCGGGTAGACGCTGTGCCTCCCAGGAGTCATGTGTATCCCCTGTCACAGGCTGAAACGGAGGCTATGGAAACATACGTCACCGAGTCCCTGTGCCAGGGGATTATACGTCCCTCCACTTCACCCGCTTCCTCTAGTTTCTTTTTTGTGAAGAAGAAAGACGGCGGTCTGCGCCCTTGCATTGACTATCAATCACTGAACAAGGAGACGATACGATTTAGTTATCCTCTCGCCCTCATTCCTTCAGTGATCGAGTCAATGCATGCGGCGCGCTTCTTCACCAAATTAGATCTCCGGAGTGCGTACAACCTGGTGCGTGTCCGAGAGGGGGATGAGTGGAAGGCAGCATTCAGCACAACCACGGGGCATTATGAATACCTGGTGATGCCCTACGGTTTGATGAATGCTCCATCCGTCTTCCAGTCCTTTGTGAATGAGGTGTTTCGGGACATGCTTGGTCGCGGTGTA